TAACCCATTGGTAGAACTATACAGTAGTCAACTATTCAGTTCAAATTCCCTTTGAAGTTACTCTACAGAGATTTAAACAAATATAAAACAGAAAATTCTTGACATCTGTTTTCTTTCAAAAATTTAAGACACTCTCTATTTCTATCTTTGGTGCCTATGTCATTGTAGCGGCGGCTGCTACAATGGTTATCTATCTAACAACCATTTCCCTTTTCCTTCTTCATAATGGAAGCAACTTTGTTCAGATCTCCACTCCTCCCCCTCATTCCACATTGGAGGTCCTAGAGATGGGCCCTAATTCACTCAAACCAACTTTGCCATTGACTGGTTCAAGAACGTAAAATAGTCAGGACTCCAGGTATTCTTCTTCTGGAAACTGTTATGCTAGGCACTCAATAGCTGTTCATCCTCTTCCCCTCCCTGTCTTAAGAAAACTGAATTATCAGTGGCCTTTCCATGGCCTACTGAATAAATTCCAAACTCAGCATTCAAGGCTCTCTACTATCCTTTTACTATCTTCTTAGCCCTTTCTCCTTTGTACAATTTCCTGCTCTAGCAGCTAGAAGGTTAGCCTTTCCAGAATATGCCCCGTACCACTTGCATTTCATATCCTTTGTCCAAGCTGCTGCTTTGGCTAGAAAAGCCCAAACACAGACATCTCAGTCAATTCAAATCCAACTTATTCAAAGTCCAGATTAAAAGTAAACATTTCCATAAAGTCTTCCTTGATATCACCATTAATAAATGGCAATTATCACATATTCCTTGTATCATAAATCATTTGTGCATGCTTACAGCCTGTTTTAAAGCCGCAAATGCCTTAAGGGCTGTGGACAAACTCGTGTGCATCTTTGTCCTCCACCACCATCCCTCCCCACCAACACCCAAACTTCTGAGTAGCTCAGTAAAAATCTGTTGAACATATGAGCACATTTTTTTCATTTTTGAGAGTGAAACGTGCCTCCAAATAACAGATTATCATGAAGGCTGAAATGTCCTTGGAAGTCTTTAAAAACATCCCAGGATGGCTTAGGAATAGTTCTGCTGAAAGAAAAAAAAACAAAGCAGATGACCTTGTAAGGCTGATTCCGTGAATTAATCGACTCTTTAAAAGTACTGCCTAATAATTAAAAAACAAACTATACATAAATGCTATTTTCAAAAAGAGAGTGGCACTTATTGCAATATACAGAGGTTAACAACAGATTTCTTTACCATAAATTTCAGCTGTTCTTATAGTAATATTTATAATATTTTCAGTTATGTCCAAGGGTTTGTATAAAAAGCCCATTTACTGAATCTTATTTCACTGTTGAAGGAAGCAGGACAGAGAAAAAGGTTGGCTCTCTCAAACTGGTAACCAGACAAAATTAATTTGTAAGTACATACTGATGTCACTTTATTATTATCTACACACCATCACTAAAAATATACCTATTGAACACCACAAAAGAATCTGCAGTTTTGATCATTTCCTTCACTGGCTTCTATGAAAAAGGTATACAAAGTTTTCCCCCACTAAATGAATTTGTACAATTTAAGTCAGCTAATATTAGGTTACTTCAAGATCTAAGGGTACATTATCAGTTCAAATAAGACCACAAAACCACGGGAAACATACTGATACCTACAGGGCAGATTAAAAAAAAAAAAACAAGGTTAACCACAATATCCCAACAATCAATGAACCTGCATTTTAAATAAAACCCTTCAGAATAAATCTCAGTAAATGTCAACAATCAATTAAATGGGACAGAAAACTTGATTCCACAGAACAGTACACTCACAAAAGAAAAGGGCACTATATAAGATGAAAATGAGAGTTTAAATATGATGGCTATTCACAGAAAGTAAAATGTAAGAAAGGTTACATAGAGAGTAGAAAATTAATTTAAATACATATTTTAAAAACCGTTAACAAGAAAATTAAACACGTTTATTCCTTGTGTTCTAATACTGTTATATTCCATGTATTTTTGTAAGCCAATTTAAATCCCTTGGGGAAGAAACCAGCGTATAAAAAAATAAATTCTCATGTTCGAATATAGTGTAGCACACTGTATAGTTATTTTTAAAATAAAGATCAAATTTTCAGTAAAACCTGCATATGCTCGTTCAAGGTTATGGTCAAGGGACCATTTAAAGTTTTCTAAATGATTTTAAAGGCATCTAGTTTTCCCGGAGCCACCTGGTAACGGGAACTGATTCTAAATAGTTTCTCGCTGGACCCCGCAAATACCGGAATTCGTCATCTGAAAAGGAGTTACAGCGGGGTCAGAGTTAGAGTCAGGCCCAGGATGGACCGTAACCAAGCAGCAGGTGTAGTTAGTTACCTCTCTGATCAGGGAACACACCTGGGCTGCGCGGGAGGCCGGGAAGGGGGGGCGCCGGCGGGAGAGCCGCCGCGGCGGGTGGGCGCGCGAGCCTCGGTCGGTAGCAACGACTATGGCCCCTGAAAAAGTTGGGCTCCCAAGACCTGGCACGGGCGAGCAGGCTGTTCGCGGTCCCCAGACAAGCTTCTGCCCGGGCCGCCGGCCCAGCCTGGCCCCAGGTGGAGGGGAGGGCTACTCACCCTGCAGAGAGAGGAGCAGCAACGGCGCCAGACTGGAGCCCGGGGAAGTCATGCCGGGGCCGCAGGGAGCGCGCCCGCCACCCGCCCGGCTCCTCGTCGCGGCAGCGGAGGCGCGGGCCGGGCTCTCGGCGCTCTCGGGACAGCCCGGTCCTCCCCGACCCGCCGCCCGGCCTCAGTGCGCCCGGCGGTGCTGGGACCGCCCGACACGCAGGCGAGTCAAGCGCAGCTCTCGCGCCGCCCCGCGCTCGCCGGCCTCGCCCCGCAGAGCCACAGCCGCCTCGCGCTGCCCCAGGACCCGACGGCCCTCCGCGCCGCCGGGGGAGCCACTCCCCCCAACTCGAGCTCTGCTACTCCGGCAGCAGCCCGGCTCCCCCGGGCTCCGCGCCGCCCACGAGCCCCGCTCGGTCTCCCGGGCAACCGAGGCTCCAGCGCGACGCCTGGCGGCCCACCCGCGGAGCGAGCGCAGCGCGCAGCTGGCGCGGCCCCGGCCACCTGTGCGCGGGGCCCCCCGCTCCCCCGCACGCCTCGGCGAGCGCCCGCAACCCAGAGGCCGTGGTCCTCCTCCTCGCCCGCAGTCGCGGCCCCGCCCGGGCCCTGAACCGCTGCCTGGACGGGTGCTGTCAGTTCTCATCCCCAGAGAGCTCTCGGAGGGACTTTTCCACCGTCTTCGTCCGAACCAGCAAGATTCTTTTCTGGTGCAGTTTTCAGATGACTTCTATTTGGCCATTTCACTTCCTCCTAGTCCTCTCTTCTGTAACCTAAATAATCTGAAAGAACCTGACTCCTGACTACACCTTCTCCCTCGAAAAGAGCGTAGGGGCTGTACCATACTCCTCAGTCCCCATTCTATCAGTCTTCTCTTGCCTCTTTAGTAAAATTGATGTCAACTTCTAATGGTTAAAATTTTTCATTTTAAATATTATAGCTTTCTTAAACTAATTTCAAGTATTTGTTAACTAGTGAGGAGGTGATTTTATTGGGATGGTTGTTACTTTGGTTGGGCTTTTATTTTTGTTTCTTGTTTGTTTTAGTTGGGTGGAAAGAAAGACCTTGCTGGCATCTGAAATTATTTTACCTAAATATCCACCTACATCTTCCCTTATGAAACCTAATCTTCATTCATTTTCAACATTGAGAGCGCTGGTCGGTGTCCTACAGCCCCACAGTCACTTTCTGCTGCAGCTTCTAACCCGAGCCTTCTAAATTTGAGGACATACCTGCCCAAGGAATGCCAGACCATTCTGGTCAATTTCTGCAGCAGAATAGATTAGGATTCTTGGGGCCATTCAGAAATTCTGAGCTCCCATCTGGCAGCTACAAACCTCCCACAGCAACTGAGGAACGCAAATAGTATGCACAGGAGAAAGGCAAATATGTAAAACATCTACACATTTGGACAAAGATTAGAAGATATACATAAACATGAAAATAATAGTATCAAGATGGTGGAATTATGGATGCACTTATTCTTTCTTGAAAATATTGCTGTTATAATTTCAAGTAAAAAGGGGGAGGAACACAGTCAGAAATGCCAGTCACCTTGAACAAGAATACCCTGAAAAGGTATAGTTTGATTATGAATTAGAAATAACCTCAATTTTGCTCACTACATCAAATTTGCTGGAACCCCTCATGAAATCTCTCATGGCAAGAAAAGAATATGACAGTACAAAGTCTTTGATATTAATAACAAGTTTAAAATTTCAACTATGATTTCATCACTGGGCTTAATCTCATTCTTTTAAACCCCAGGGCAAGTAGATTTCTTTTTCTTCACCCAGTCCAATTCCTTACCTTGTCGTGCACATATTCCTGCATTCTAACCCAGTCCCATGCAGAGTATGAGAGTAAGTAATATAAAGAGGAAAGCAAGAAAGTTGCCGTGTGGTAGGTGCTACTCAGAGCAGGATTTTTCTTTCCTATAATTCCAGATATAAGTACAGAAATAGACTATTTATTATGTAATTAAATAAATAACCTAATAATCTAGGCTGAAAAGTCCTGATAAAAGCAAGCTGCTTGATAATACTTCTTAGCACATGAGTTCAGCAAATATTTATTGGCACACTACATAAGGCACTGGGTTGAAGGTTCAACATAAAGTGTAAAACATAATCCTCACCCTTAAATAACTTTTAATTGTGCATGGAATATATCTGCACTGTCATGAATCAGCAGAGAGAGTTCTCCTGCCTCTTTGTCACCATAGTGTACTTCTGCCTTGCCCAACAGGAGCTGGGAACTTATTAAAAGGACAGAATGCTCACAGTTCTGTGGAGCAGCCCTTGTAATGGAAAAAGAAATGTGGCTTCTGGAGAGAGAGTAGGGATCAGATGTCAGGAGGCAATCTGGCTCCCCAGATGCATGGGTGGGCAGATGGTAGATGGTGGACTCAAAGGAAGCAGAATGGGAGGGCTGAAAACTCCAAGTGCTGTGCACAGAGCCTTCCAAAAGGACATCCTCACAGGAAACAAACCAAAAAAAAAATGAGTTTTTTCACTTTGCAGAGATACCACTGGCATGTATTTTGAGTAAATTTTTTATTAGTAATGATGAGTTTCATCAGTGCTTTTATCCTAATCTGCTTCATGATCACAGTAGGGTTTCTTTAAATCTCTTAAGTATTCTGTGCTAAACAACAGACAACATCTTACATTTGTATAATACTTTATAAATTTCAAAGTACTTTTACATGGGTTATCTCATTTGATCTTCACAGCAACCCCAGGGGAAGTAAAGCAGATAATATCACCCCAGCTTCACACAGCAAGACACTGAGCCTCAAAATGACCACCTCAGGGATTGCAAATACCCACGGGCAGAACTGGAACCAAGGTCTTCTGACATTCACCCTATCTTCTTCTACCACATCAAAGTCGTCTTTTTTATCTTTTTATAAACCAACATCTAGAGAAACTTATATAAACCAGTGTCTTAAAGCCATCTGTGGGGAACATTGCAGTTGCCTCCCCAACATTTAACCCACTGCACCCCACCGTCATCCCTACAAACACCATCACTTCCACCCCACCCCCATGAGTAGCTGTAGAATTTGGATGAGATTGCCCCCTGCCCTACTCCTCTAGGGGAGCTATAGTTGGTCTATCTGCCCAAGGAAGAAATGGAGAGGGGGATGACTAGGACAAGGAAACCCAGGGTAAAAGATTCTGCTGTAATGCAATAATATTGCATTCAAAAACATTGATGACATGATAATACAGTCAACTTCTAAATATCTAAATATGGATTATCCAAATTCAAAATTTAATCCTAGACCAGCTTCTCTCCTCCACCTATCAAAATGCTAGATTATCTCATTTCATAATCTGTTATTCTGCATTCAAGAATGGAAAGTTTTATTATTACATTAGGAGAAAAATCATTAAGAAAAATGATGGAGGAAATTTTGAGGCTTTCCTAAGCTAAATATAAATATTTTTATGACATCTTATTAGCTATTTTAAGTTATTAATACCACCTATCCATTTCCATAATGTATATAATTAAAGATTAATTGCATCTAAGTTTTTGAGGATGTTCATCTATAGAATGTTTTATAAGACCATCATTCTTCAAGTTAGAAAACACCTTTTTGATCTATGCTTGAGCCAGTAACTCGTTCTATAACTGCTTTAACCCAAGACCATATATAGTCTAGAGAGCTTGGTCCTTTTAGAAGTAAAATTTGAGAGGAATTCTTCCTCCTTCCCCTTTGTGAAGATAACATTAAAGGAGGGGAGAAGACAATAGTGAGATCCCTAGAGTAATTAACAAGCCAATAAGTGTTTATTGTATGTTAAGACATAAATAGACCATTTAATATTTTAAAACATCCTTCTCTAATTTGGGATCAATTTGCAACCTATATACATTGACAGCTTATTCTTTCTTATACCTGTTTCTGTCCACTCCTCTGGTAACACTTGCTAGATAGGACTGACACAAAGGTAAGCAGCATTTCCATCCTCCTCCCTCATAGCTGAGTCCCTATCACCATTGTGAATACTGCTGAAGCAAAGTTTCATACTTCCATTCATTTTGGGAAAAGATGACTCTTCCTTGAAAACCTTTTATTATGTACACATTTATTTCCAGGCAAAGTTACTCTCTGAGAAGAGTCCATTGTGACAATGTACTAGTGAATCCATTTTAATGGCAAATTTAAAACGGCACCACTACGTTTTTTGGAATTGAAAACAGCAATAGCATAAGAAGCATTTTATGTCACCTGAAAATGTTTTGTATTCTCTTTCTTATAAAATAATTCTCAAAAATTCTTCAAAGTTTCTTTACCAGTATTCACTAATCTAATCTGCTTGAAGCTCTGTTACTTGACTTTATATATTGGGGTACTGGCAATTTGTTAACTCGAATTTTTCAAATTGTGATGAGTTTTTCATAGAAGTTTAAAGTGCAGTTCAGACCTTCTGGCAACAAAACAGATTAGAGACGCTGACTTACAAAAAAATGTGAAACCATATTTACTTTTTTTTAGCTGAGTCATCCTGCCACCTGTTGGCAGCTCAGTGGCAGCTCAGCTCAGGCTGGGAATCAAACCGGCGACTCTGTTGCTCAGAGCTCGCACTCTTGAGTGAGCTTTTAACCAACTGAGCCACTCAGGTGGCCCCAAGAAATCATATTTTTTAAAATATTAAATGAATTGATGATCTCTCAATAAATATGGAAGTCAAGCCGAAAGCTAGATGAAGGAAGGAATCCTTCAACAGTCTATTCTCAACACAGCATCAGAGTGATCCTGTTAGATCAGATTAGATCACTCCTCTGACCAAATCCACCCAATGGTTTCCTGTCTCACCCAGAGTGAAGGGAAAAGTCCTTACTCTAAACTACAGGGCTTGTGTTAGATTACTATTGCTGCTGTAAAAAATTACTGCATTTGTGCATAAACTTGTTATAGTTCTGAGATCAGAAGTCCAAAATGGGTCTCATTGGGTTAAAATCAAGATGGCTGCAGGTCTGCTCCCCTTTCCAGAGAGCCTCTTTCCTTATCTTCTCCAGCTTCTAGAGTCCACCTATTTTCCTTGGCTCATGGCCCCCTTCCTCCATCTTCAAAGCCATAAACATTAGGCCAAGTTCTTCTCACACTGCCATCTCTCTCTTGCTCTGCTGCGTCTTCTTCCATAGTTAAGGATCCTTGTGATTACAATGGGCCCACTTGGATAATCCAGGATAATCTCATCTCCAGGTCTCATCTCCTTTGAAGGGTGACCTCAGTTCCATCTACAACCTTTGCCAAGTAAGGTAACATTCACACATTCTAGGGAATAGGAAGTGGGCATTTGGGGTGTGGGGGCATTATTCT